CGAGAGATATATGTGCAGTGGTATGTGGGTGAGGCTGAGTAGAGCCTGTCTTTGGTTCTTTATGGTGGGTTGTTGTTAGGTGGTTTGGATTTTTTTTTTCCTCTTTTTAAGACTCTTAAAATTGCCTCTTTGGAAGATTAGCTAAAAGATGCATTCACTGCCACCCACCAGCCCGGAAGTGAAATTCCATCAGTCATGAAATCTGGTCCTAAGCTGCTGTGTCTTTGCTCCTCTTAGCCAAGGATTTTATTTGCCACTTGCTGGAGAAGGACCCAAGTGAGCGGTACACCTGTGAGAAGGCCTTGAGGCACCCCTGGTGAGTGAGGAACGGGGTAGTCTCTAGCCCAAAACCAATGGCTCCCCAAATATCACGCTGACCTGTTTACACAGTGCGTTTCCCTGGAGTCTGCTTGCCCTGAGCTGTTTACTGTTGTGGCATCCACAGAGCATAGGAGTGTTCATCTGGCACAGCTAGAGATGCAAACAGCATTTAATTAAGTGGGTTCTGATCCCAGGGTGGCAGTTGGGTCTCCTAGTCAAGTGCAGAAGGCAGAGGCAGTTGGGCGCTGTCATCAGCACTAGAGAATACTCAGTACTAGCTACTCAGGAGGCTCCCAGACACAGGCAGCTCTGCCCTGTTCTTAAGAGAATCATTTTACTCCCTCTGGGGTCAAAACATGTTCCATGTGACGTGGTCTGGGAACAATCACAATTCATAAACTAGTTAAGTAAAGTCTTGAAGCGCTTCCTTCTTCCTTGCTACACCCCTACTCAAGACTTTACAATAGCTCCCTATTTCCCACCATAGCAAGCCCAGAATCCTTTGCCTTTCCAGGTTTTCCATAATCTGACCTGACTTCCAACTTTATTTCCCAGGATTTCCAACACACCTTCTCTGTTCCAGAAATGCCTAAGAGCTATACTTCTCCCCCTGCCTTCCCCTACCCCATACACCAAACGCTTTCCAATTACACCTCGGGTTATACCGTTTTCACCCCCTAGAATGTCCTGTCTCTTGCCTTGTGTGTAGCATCCTTCAGGATCCAGAATATTCTCTGCCCTTACCTAAAGCCTAGGCTCCGGCAGCCTAGGCAGGCCTCCCCATCTCTCACTATCAATGACAGAGCTTTCCACGAATTACTCTAGTTCATGGCATGAAGCAAGCCTCCACACCTACACTGTAAGCCCTAGGGGTCAGGACCCCGTCTGCTGCGATACTCCGCTGGGTTCCTTCGTACCTAGCAAGGACTGTGCACGTGGCAAGTGTCTGAGGAACACTTAGAGACGAGGGACTGAGGGGCTGGGAGAAAGACAAAGGGTAGCCTATACTGGGTGGCCTCATCGAATAGGCTTCCAGGAAGAAGTGGGTTCTGAGCAGGGTTCTGAGCAAATTTCTGAGCTAAAGGAGGATGACAACCCATGTGCCCTCTGACACTCAGTAAATGTTTTTTTATAAAGAGCCAGGTAGTAAATATTCTCGACTTTGCTGGCCATACCGCCTCTGTGGGAACTAGTCAATCTTCCTGTGTAGCACGGAAGCAGCCGCCGCCCATACCTGAGGGCATGCCTGTGTCCCAGGAAGACCTTTTTCACAAAAGCAGGCAATAGGTAAATTTGGCCTACTCACCAGAGTCTGTTGATCCTGCTCTAGAGCACGTTTTTGGTTTTGCCGAAGCATAGGCCCCCGATGACCTTCCCACGGGGACAGAGGAGCTCTGATTCCAGCGTTTCCTACTGTGTCCTCCCTTGTCCTTGGGCACTCCGTTTGGCTTAACCCGGCTCTACCTGCACAGTGCCCTGCCCAAATCCTGGCTGAGTCCCACAGCCACCCACTATCCAGGTGTCCCCTCTGCCTCCACAGGATTAATGGAAACACAGCCCTCCACCGGGACATCTACCCTTCGGTCAGCCTTCAGATCCAGAAGAACTTCGCCAAGAGCAAGTGGAAGGTAAGTTGTCCTCCCCCGGGGGTGCCAGGCTGTTCTGGGCCCCTGGAGGCTGGGCTGGGGCAGGGGATGATGGAGGGGCTTTCCTTGGGCCTTCCCAGCAGACACTGGCATTCCCTGGACCCCCTCTGTAATGAGAAGTAGGCACATGGGCTTCGAGGGCCACAGGATAGAGGGAAAGCTTGAGCCCTGTGACCCTCAGAAAGTGGGACTGACCAAGGCTGGCGCTGTGTCTCCTTAGCAAGCCTTCAATGCAGCAGCCGTGGTGCACCACATGAGGAAGCTGCACATGAACTTGCACAGTCCGGGCGTTCGCCCGGAGGTGGAGAACAGGCCTCCTGTCACTCAAGCCTCAGAAGCTTCAAGACCCAGCTCCCCTGAGATCACCATCACCGAGGCCCCTGTCCTGGACCAGAGGGTGGCACTCCCTGCCCTGACTCGGCTGCCCTGCCAGCATGGCCCCCGGCCCATTGCCCCTGGCGGCAAGTCCCTCAACTGCCTGGTCAATGGCTCCCTCCGCATCAGCAGCAGCCTGGTGCCCATGCAGCAGGGGCCCCTGGCTGTTGGGCCCTGTGGCTGCTGCTCCAGCTGCCTGAGCATCGGAGGCAGAGGGAAGTCCTGCTACTGCTCTGAGCCCACGCTCCTCAAAAAGGCCAACAAAAAACAGTACGTATTTTCACTCGAAGACAGAGTCCTGGCCCTGCTCAGCCTGGGTCTGAAAACACGGAGGCAAGGAGCTCAAATAAAGTAACCAAGGATCTTTCCCACTCGAGGCAGCGCCAGGGGGTGGGAAGAGCTCTGGATCCGGGATCAAGGGAAATGCTGTCCTTACCACCCACTAGCTGTGTGTCCGTTAACCATCGGTCAATTCTCTGTTTTGCTCCTCTGTAAAAGGGGTTCATTGAATTATATTTAGCTGCTCAGCCTGCCTCACAGAGGTATTGTAAAAGTTTAGTGAAGCAACGGAATTATAAGTGCCTGCAGAAAACTGGGTACATGCGAAGGGTGAGCAGTAGATGTCTTGAGTTCCCAGAGCCTCAGTCTTTTAGGGAGAGAAAAGGGGTTTGGTTGTCTTGTGTATCTTTTCTGCAAGTGCTTGTACTTTCTGAACCTCATAAAGGAAGGCCTGAAAACTGGGCTCTTCTTCCTTCCTCAAATATGTCATAGCATGCTGCTGCTTCATCTCCTTTCCAGGAACTTCAAATCCGAGGTCATGGTGCCAGTCAAAGCCAGTGGCAGCTCCCACTGCCGGGCGGGCCAGACTGGAGTCTGTCTCATTATGTGATCCTGGGGGCCGTGCCTTCGTCAGGTGAGGGGACTAGAGATAGGAGGGCTGGGGTGGGAACCTGGTGGGGGAGCTTCTGCCCTGGAAGGAAAGCCCCGCTCCAGAGTCTGAATAATGGGGCCCGAGGAGTGTCAGAGGCGGCAGCCTCACCCCTCCCTGGACCCCTTTCCTCTGCAGGAGAAAAGGTCAACTCGCCTCTGCCCTTCCGAACCTGGGGTCTACCTGCAGTAGGAGGAAGGAGCAGGCCGAGCAGGGCCTGGCAAGAGCAGTTTCTGATCAGAGGCAGCCGACTGCTGCCGCCTGGGACAGACCCTCACCGAAGGCCCAGGCGTGAGCCTCCAGGCGCAGGGGTCTCACCGAAGCTGCGGGCAGGAGGAGCAGCATCCACACGCCCTAGGTCTCCCTGACCTGCCTGCTCTGCACCCCACACCCTACGTGCCGTGGTCTGTGCAGCGTGCGTAGATAGTTCTCGCCCAGGTCTGTGTTGTCTGTCTTGAAAAGCTTAACAGGCTGGTCAGGCTGTGTCACCTTCAGAGCAAAGCCATAAGGAGCATCGGCCCAGACTTCCTGCTCAGCACACACTCGCTCCTGCCTCCCAAGCCTCCGTCCTCACAGCCAAAACGGGCTGCTCGTCGATGTCACCACCTGCCCATCCGCATGAATGACAGGCAGCTCTGTGATCTGCCTGTGAGCTCTCAAAATTTGAATCCTTAACTCCGGGATTAGCTCCCAACTGTGCCAATGGGGAGTACCCGCCAGCCTACCCCGGCCCACTTCTGAGCCTCCTCCCTCCCTGCCCCTGTCCAAAGGCAGTGCCACACCCTCCGAGGTGAAAGAGCTAGAAATCCGCGACTAAGTACTGTAAAGAGTTAGTATCCTCGCCAGATGCCCTCCACACACACCCAATTCAGTAAAAATTGGAAGTCGACTCTTTTCATTTCAGCGTTGACTCTATTCCTGCCTCTGCGCCCCTCTCTCTCCCTGAAAGTCAGGTGCATCATTCTTGTTCCTCCCCAGTTTTCTTGCCACCTGACCTCTCACCCCAGCTTCATGCTCAGTGTTGTGCTCAATAAAATGGACATATTTTTCTCTATGAGGCTTCATTTGGTTCTCAAAGTCAGAAGCAGCTCGGGGACTTGTGAGCGTGTGTGGAGTGGAAAGTGCGTGGAGAGCTTGAGGCCAGGAAGAATCAAACGTGGCCTGGGTGCACACAGGACGCCAGGCACCTCGGGACAGGAGTGACGCGTTCTGACCAGGGGTCCTCACAGCGACCCCTGGAGCCCAGGCGGCCCAGCTCCAGCATCCATTCTCCTAATGACTGTGTTAGATGAGCAAGAGGTTGCGGCCCAGCCCTGCCCTGCCACACCTGTGCCCTGGGGGAAGTTATGGAGCCCTGTGGGCCACTGTGGTTTCCTCACTTGTCAGGTGAGAACTGCGGTGCTACCTACATCATGAAATAGGGCAGACCGTGTGCCCTGCCTAGCGCCAAAAAATAATGAGTGATAACTCTCAGGATGTTCATGTAGATAAACGTCTGACACAGTGCCTGGGCTACGGGGCACACAGATGCTCATGCCATTTCCACACCCAGCCCCCAAACACACACACACAAACACGCATCCGTTGCAACTGCTTTTTGAGAACCCAAAACGCACAGGTTCTGGTCTTAGTTCTGTTTCTGGAACCTGCGTGCATTTGGACACCTTGCTTCCCTTCGCCGGATTTCTATTTCTTCATCTGTAAATGTAAAACTAGATCACTGTTCAAAAATGAAATGGCTCCTTGGTGTCTCACGGTGGAAGCCATCTGGTCCTGGGCAGAGGGGCTCCATCTCCCCAAGTGGGTGAGGAGCGAGCGGGACTGCGCGGAGCGGGGCGGCCTGTGCTTCCTACACCACCAGGCCTTGGGAGATGGAGACAAGTGGTAACGGTTTACTCGGTAGGAGACACGCTCGTTTCCCTCTTTGAACCTCCAGGATCCTTTCCAAAGATTTTTATTGGGCTTTTTTACTTGTACATCATTTGGATTAAGTTTTGTGTCGGTCCAGGATTCAGCCTCCATGGAGACCAAAGAGCGAGGACACCGCCCAGCCGAGCTCCCTCCACCTGAGACCCCGCCCCCGTCATGATGACATGGCTCCGCTCTGCCATCTCTTGTCCCTCAGGTGTGGTTGTCCGTCAGTTCAGGCTCAGCTCTGACCCAGAGTAACCTGAAGTGCTGCACACCAGGGGTGGTCCAGGTGGTGCTTTCGGCTGCAACAAGAGGAGCTGGAAAGCATTCCAAAGCAGCCTGTCCCCCAAAGCAAAGGGGGCAGATGTGTGCACCCGAGGGCTGGCAGCTGGAGCATCACTTGCAGGTGGCGTAGTAGAGCACCCGCTCGTTGATGTGGTCGCGGATCTGCTCCACGCGCTTCTCCAGCCCTGTCAGGTCGGCTGAGCGAAGCATGATGGCCTGGCTCCCCTGTAGCAGCTCTGACTCCATATCTGAGGGCAGATGGAACAGCAGGGGGCGGAGGTGGGGCTGGTGTGTCCCCCAGAGACTCCCAACCCGTCCTTCTCCTCCCACCCACCTGGAAGCAGCACCTGCAGGACGAATCGCCTCTGGGGGAGCCTTCTCAAGGGGAGCCCCTCCAGCCCTAACCCACTATCAGCGAAACACACGTGCAGAAGCCAGACCCAGGAAGCCCTCATCCCAGTTATCCCACGACCCCTCCCCTGCTCCTCTGCTTAGGCTCCCTCGGTCCTCCCAGGTTAATGAGGGCGGCCACTGGCACCAGAATTAGTGGCCCGCTGCTGTCGAACCTGGACAGCTGCCATCCCACCAGTGATCCTCAAGCGAGCGCACGGCGAAGAGCGGGCTGGGCGACCAGAAAGCCTCCCCACCCCCCCTTCCCAAAATGCCACAGATTAATCTTGTCCTCCCTCTCCAGTCCACTCTGCGTCCTACCACTGGACTGTGCAAAGTGGCCTCGTGCAGCCTGTCCTTCCTGGCACCTGGGGTGGGAGAGCCCTCTACCACATTCACGAGAGCGGGGACCCAGCCTCAGCCTCACTTCTCCAGGGATAGGGAAGGAGTGCACTGCCTCACAAGGCTCCAACTTTAGGCAGCTCTTGTTGTTAAAATAAATAAATAAATAAATAAAATAAAGTCTTCTCATTAGGCCAGAATCAGACCACTTCTTGCTTAATTGTTCCGTCTGTCTCCTGGGGGCGTAGGAATGGATCTGCGCTGTCTCCCACGCCGCAGCCCTTCAGATGTCCGAGGCTCGTCTTCTCCAGATGGGACCTCCTCACCCGCTCATCCACTCCCTATTTGACGTGATCACCGAGCCCTTCCCTCCCAGTCCTGGTCACTCTCCCCCGATGTTGGGTTTGTCAATATCCCTCCTGAAGGTGTAGCAGCCACCACTGAACACGCCCCCCATCCCTCAGTGACAACCTATCAGGGGAGTGTAACAGGGTCATTACTGGGCTGACATTTAGTCAGTGGTACCCACACGGATCTATGAGTTCATAAAATATTTAAATTTCAACAGCTGCTGTTCTGTTCCCAGTCCCCACCCGTAGGGCCCCCTATGCATGATCATCCCCCCTCATTTTGCAATTAGAAGTAAATTCCTGCAAGCAGGTAAATGGCTGTTCCAGTGCTACAACCTGAGCCTTTTCTGGCTGATAAGTGCATGACACACCAATTTCTGAATATTTTTAATATCGTCCCTGAGCCATTACTCCCTTATTTTGGCTGCTTTGTATGTATTTGTGCTTTGGGAATAAGAAGATACTGCTAACTTCCATTAAGATTACAGTTACTCAAAACTCCTGAGTCATTTTCAGGTGAGTAACAATTCATATTTGCTCATCACTTATTGGTTAATAAGTGCTTTCACTACAGTAGCCACTGAGAAGCCGGGTCTCACCTGAGCTGTATTTGTGGGCTTAGGCCCAAATGATGCCAAAATGGAAGATAATTTTTCTCCTGATTTAACTTTGTAGTGTTTCAGCCCATCATTATAGATTTCCAAGACTGCCTTAGAATACTGGTTCTATTTTCTAGTGTATTAACTATGTCCTGTAAAGATGTGATAAGCATATTCTTTCTCTTCACAAAAAACATCGATGGGCAAGACTGGGCACCCACTGACCCAGCCCCTGGGCTCCTCCCTCAGGGTCGGTTCCCCTCCTCTCGCCCTTCAGGTCTGGCTGGCCACAGCCTCCTATCTACTCTCTCTTGACTCAACAGCCCAGCCCTCTCTATGGTATCCACCTGGTGAGCCAAACAGACTTCTGCCTGTTTCTCTGAAATTCAGAGAAACTCTCTCTGAGGCATTCACTGGCACACCAGCGCAATTGTCCCATCGTCGTCACACCTCAGAGACCCAGCCTGATTCCCGGACATCCCTGCTCTCCTTCCCGAGACACCCAGGACCCTTTGGAAACTCCTTTCATTCAACCTCTGCCATGTTCGAAACCCTCAGATGGTTCCCTGCTCCCTCCAGGGCTGAGTCCCCCTCCCATCCTGGCTCGGAGGCCAGGGGCGTAGACCCAGCCACGCTGACCCCTGCTACTTCTCCCATCCCATTCTGATGCTCCTCAGCCCTCCTCTCCTGCTGGGTGCTCCTGCCCCCATTTCACACTGTGCCCCAGTCTTCCCACTCTCCCTGTCTTGAGATACCTCCCCTTCTTCACAGCCCCTCTCAGGTCCACGCATCCTGCAAGCTCACATTTGATCTTGTCTTTTCTGAACATTCCCTTCACTGAACATTTCTCTCTGACCTCTTATTATTTGGGCTCTGATCACAGACCCCATTATGCTGCTAAATACAGGGCTGTGCCTCTTGCAAACAATAGGAAAAATGGCCACATCTAGAGCTCAAGCTTTTTGAAAACAGGCCGCGTCTTGCATTATACTTCCCACAGCCCCATTGTAGTGCCCCCTGCCTACGAGGTGCTCAGGATCTCCCGACTGGCCTTGCTCCCTTAGCCCTGCTGGCTCCAGCAAGACTGAGCCGCAGAAGCCCCGAGTTGAGACCGGCCTTCAGGGACACCCCAAACCATCCCCTCACCTCTCATCTTGTCCATCATCTCCATGGTCTCCCCAAACAGCTCCTCTGCCTCCGTCTTGACGCTCAGGATCCGACTGCCCTGCTCCCCCAGCGTGGAGCTCTGACTCAACCGGTCCTTCAGCTCGGCATATTTTTGCTTTATTCTTTCAAACCCCTGGAAAGGTTAGAACAGTCCCTGTCACCATGATCATCATCCAAAGTCCTAAAGACTTTTGGCTAGACCACTTGATGTCACCCAAATCAACACTGAGGGATAAAGTGCCTCCTGATATCCCCCATGATTGGTTTTGCCCATAAAAAAAGCTCCTAGCCCACATACTGTACTTTAAACTTGTTCTGCACGCCCCTCCCTTCATCTGCAGTTCCTGTCATTTCCCTCTCACCTCCAGCACAGTGTCAGGCACATAGCTGTCACTTAATAGTATACTGGGCAGCTTGGCCATTGTACCAGGACTGTAAGTGCTAACGTTCCTGGTACCCTGGAGGCTTTGAGAAGACTCTTTGATCTTCCCTCTGGTCTAATTCTGACAGTGATGGGGCTCTCGGGTAAGGCTAGTGCCTGTCCTGGCTGGGCAGCCTGCAGGGACAAGCTCAGGACGGGTGTCAAGAGACCTGCTTTGCAGATGAGGTTTGCTGTGAACGAGTTACCACTTAATCTGTAAGAGGAGAAGGATTGGACTAGATCATTTCCGACATTCTAGCTCAGCGGCAGCCAAAAGCAGACTTCAGACATCCGGTCAGATTTGGGTTAATCCTGAAGCCTCTTCCGGTTGTTCTAGAATAACTGTTATTCTACTTGCTTTCGAGCCCATGGTCCTATGCAGTGCACACGTCTACACTGAGGCGGTGTCCTCTCCTGCAGAAGCCCCCGCTGCTGTGCTCCCCCAGGCTCACGGTCAGCCCTCTGTACCTCCTGGGCACTCAGGGCCTGCTCGCTGGCGCCCTCCGCCAGCCGCTGAGCCTGGGCTGCCTGTGCCCGCTGCTGCTGGGCCTGGCGGCGCAGCTCCTCCATCCGTGCTCGGAAGTCACCCAGCTGCTCCATCATGCCTGTCACCAGTCTTTCCGCCGGCCCCAGCACCTGCTGAACCTTTGTGGCAAGAGAGAGACCTGGGTCTGTGGTGGGTCTCATAGGCAGTGGTCCTGATCCCTCTTTTCTCCAACGCATCAGGCAGCTACCACCTCCTCCAATCAGAACATCACTCCTGCCCCCTCCCAATCCCGCCTGTCCACTGGCGTCCAGGCCTCCCCCTTCTTCGGCTCCGCAGACCCCCAGCCCTTTCTGCACCTGGCCACAATACCAGAAAACCAAAGCCTCAGAGCTGGGGTCAAGGCTGTAACCCTCCTTCTTTAGGCCCCTGGCTCAGCTGCCACCAGGTCACTTTTCGGCATCTTGTATGTCTTGTGCCGGAATCTGTCCATTCCCAAAATGACAGAAGGAAGCCATAACACCTCACCTCAGTGACCCTGTCCTGAATAAGCCGAAGGGAGCGGCTGGTGCCTTGCATGGTGCTCTGAGCCTCCTGCAGCGCCACGGTGCCCTGCTGCAGGTTCCCTGCCACGTCCTCCACCTGGCCCTCCACTGCGTGGGCTCGGCTCCTGGGACCAAGAGCGGAGAGGGGAGAGAGTGAGGGAACAAGGAACGAAGAGGTATGTGGTGCAGCTCTCTGACCAGGCCAAGAGAATACTCTTCCCAGACAAGATAAGGGGAGTCTTAACTCAGTAGCTTTTGCATCCCAGGACGCTGCCCAGCAGACAGAACAAATGTGAGCGTTGCATCGGAGACACCCTGTGGGCACGGTTTCCGGTGGGGGAGGCAAGGGTCACCGTGAGTGAAGTTTTCCCCGAATGCTGCGTGTGGCGTCTCCATCCCCCACCACAGTGAGCCTCCTCCTGCCTCCCAGCCCCCTGCCCCTCTCTGACTTGGAGAGCTTCTTCTCTCACTTCCAGCAACAGACTCGGGGAACAAAAACACCAGCTCTGCCCTGGGCAGGGATGAGCTCGGGGCTCTGGACCATACCTGGCCTGCTCGGCCTCAGCCTGGAGCCTGCGAGCTCGGGCGATGTCCTGCTTGGTCTGTGCCAGCACCAGGTCCACGTTGGGGAGCCGGGCTGCGATGGCCTGGATCTCGCTCATCTTCCGCAGGACTGTGGCGGAGTCTGTGGGCAGCCACAGGGCCAGCACGGCCTCGCTGACCTCCTGGATGGTGGCCGCGTCGGTGTCAGGGTCTAGAAGACAAACGTCCATCAGACTGTGGGGAGCCCGGCCACCTCCCCAGAGGACAGGAGCCACTCCAGGCCGAGCAGCACCCACGGGAAGCACCCCTGTGGCATCTCTGCCTGGCACCCCAAGGCCCTGCCGCTCCCTCTCAGGCACACTCAGGCGCCCGTTCTCTGAGAGTTTCCGGAATGCTGGCGAGGGTGATTGCCGGCACAGCTGTGGCAACTAAGTGCCTGGTGGCACAGGAAACTGCAGGCTGGGGGGAAGGAGGTGGTGCCAGACAGCTGGTCCGGAACAATGCCTGGAGCATGAGCACACTCAGCCCGAAATTGGGGAGGGCGGCCAGGAACTAGAACTGCTCCCTTGGCGATAGGCCCCTTCTACGTGTCCCTCCTCAGACCAGAGTGCTCATTTTTGCAAAGGCAGATAGAGATTATCTGGTAGTAGTTCAAATGTCACCTTCTCAGAGAGGCCAGCCCTGGCCACCCAATATAAGGTCACACTCTTCTCCCTAGGCCAACACTCCTTATCTTCCTTCTCTGCTCATCTTTTCCCACATGCCAACACTTAACTCATTTATCTGGTCTTCTGCCTGGTTTCCTACTAGAATGTGAGCTCCAGGAGGGCAGGGTCTGGGTTCCATCCAGAACCCTATCCCCAGCCCCCAGCACCGTGCCCAGCACTTGGAGGCGCCCTGTGTGTGCAGAGTGAATGAATGATTGGAAGGGCTCCAGACACCAGTCTCCCCATTGCTAGTCAGGAAATTTGGGGCAAGTTGAATGGCCTCTCTGAGCTCAGTTTCCCAGCCTGTGAAATGGGAATAACTATCCTCAACCTGCAGGGATGAAATAAAACTCAAGTAGCAAGAATTTCACAAACCATCTCTGGGGCAGAGAGTAAGCTCAAAAGCACAGAGACAACATCTCCCCATCTCTCTCGGTTCACTTTCACAGATGCCGCTGACGTCGTCGACGCAGCAGGGAAGGGGGCAGCCACTCCTGAAGATGGTTTACCGTGGGACTTGAACTCTCCTGGGGCCCTGGAACCCTGGGCCCAGCCTTACTCTGCAATCAGAGGGCTTCCTCACCAGCCAGCTCACAGGTCCCAGCCCCAATCCCCAGGTCAGGTGGAAGGACACTTCTGGAAGGTGGAAGCCGTGCCTCCTTCATTTCTGCGTCCCTTCAGAACTAAAGCAGCACACTGCAGGAGCCCAGGGCATAACTGTGGCTGGGCTAAATGAAGTGGGCTTATCCCCAACTACAGCTTTCACAAGGACCTCCGCACAGAACCAGCAACCTCCCATCTAACCCAGAATCCCACTCGCAAAACCAGGCTTCATACCCACCTTCCCTGAAAGCCCCCCACCGAGCACACTTCCTTCCTTTATCCTGAACCACTCTGGCTGCGCCCAAGAGCTGGATCCAAGTTTCACTCAGTTAACATAGGCTTCTGAGTCTCAGGGTGGGCTCGGCACAAGTTCACCCCTCTGAACAGCAGCATGTGGGGAGCTGAGGCTGAAAGTCACACTAGACTTGGTCCCTGCCCTCATGGAACTCAAAATCTGGTGGGACAGACAGGCACACAACCAAGGAAGCATAACGCTGAGTGAAGGGGGTAAGCACAGGGCATTAGGGCGGCCACCGGAAGGGCGCCTAACCCAGTCGTACAGGTGCAGGGACATGACTAGAGAGTGGGACACCTGGAGGACTCCTAGCGGGCGAGTAGGAATTAGCAGCTAAGGAGAGGTGGGACAGGAAAGACAACCCAGGGAGAGGGAAAACATTAGCAAAGGCAAGGAGACGGGAGTGTGTGTGTGCACGTGTGTGCATGGGTACATGTATGTCTCTTGGTGCAATAACCCAGAGTGTGAACTACAGAGCGAGATGAGTCCTCGCTGCACTCCCTCCAAGCCCGATGCCCTTAGGCAGGTAACTTAAGCTCCCTGTGCCTACCGTCCTCATCTGCAAAGTGGTAGGCAGTTGGGATGAAATAATATCACAGACATGAAGCACTCCGAACAGTGCCTTGCACCTGGTAAGAACTCAGTAAACCTGAACTACTGTTTTGTCAATTCCACTCGAAGGCCGAAGACAGACGACCTCTCCTGTTCCTCCGTGGGCCTGCCCCCGCTCTGTGACCCTGGGGGCTGCAGCTAGCACCCACACCTCCCACACCAGGACTCTGGAGACTGTGAGAACTGTCCTGGGCCCCTCCTCCTCTCGGCCCCTGGCTTCGGACAGGACCTCGCCTGAGACACAAGCATACCTGAGAAGATGAAAGGGGCCCCACAGCCCAGCCACCCGCTCTGTTCACGTGAGCCTTGCACCCCAAGGACAGACTTCTTACCCTCCTCCCACTCCCTGGCAGCGGGGAACCCCTTCAGCCTCACTGGGCGTGACTCAGGGGAAGGCTTGTTCTGTCTGAGTCCGAGCCCCAAACTTGGCCCCTACCCCTTCTGTCCATGCTTGTCGAGCACCGTCTCCCTGCATCCCCTGGTAACTCTCTTCCCCACTCTGCGGCTCTCTGGGAGGGTGGCTCCAGCGTGGCCTCAGAGAAGCCAGGGGACCACTGCGGGTCCATCCTGCCCCTGTCTGACCTGCTATCTGCACTCAGGAGGGGGCTTCAGCCTACTGGGAGCAAAAGCGGCTCAGCAGTAGCAGGAAGAACCACTGTCATTACACCAAGCCCTCAGCTCCTTGTAACTAGGCTCCCAGCCAAGCAAATTCCCTGGCAGGGACCAGAAATCTAATAATATCAACTCAAATTCCTGAGGCACCTTTAATTTTTCAAAACACATTTTACATCAGTTACTCAATCCCCAGAATAAACTTGTGAAATACTACCATCCCGGTTTGCAGAAGCAAACAATGAGGCAAAGAGAAAAGTGACTTGCCCAAAGTCACCCAGGTTCCTGAATCCTGTCCAGGGAACTTTCCACTCCCCAGGGCAGCATGGGAGGGGATCTGGTTCATTTAGTCATTCAACCAACGTTGGGTGTTTGGCCTCATGCCAGGTGCCAGTGATGCAGTGAACCAGACAGAAAGCCATCCCTGCCCTCTTGGAGTTTACAATCTAGTGGGCATTCAGACAATATTCTCTTAGACACATGAATTCTACAACACAGGCTTGGACCAGTGTGATGAAGGTTGGATGTTAAAGGGGAATGGGAGGAGAGGGGTCAACCAGAAGGCCCCCCCAAGGGAGATGATATTTAAGCTGAGAGCTAGAGAGCAAGAATCAGCAGCCTTGGAGAGAAGATTTCAGGCAGAGAGAGAGATGTGTAAATCTCAGGACAGGCAAGAGCCTGGCCTGTTCAAGGACAGCCAGTGAGCAAAACAGGGAGACACAGGGCCACCCACCCAGGAGGTGAGCAGAGGCCAAGATAAGGAGCTGGGGATTTATTCCAAGAACAAGGGGAAGCCACTGAAGGATTTTAGGCATGAGTGGGGTCTGACCCCATGTGCGCATTTTTCAAAGATGCTCTGGGCTGTTTTGTTGAGAATGGGCCTGAGGGAGCAGGAGGGGAGGTAGGAGAACAGGCCATGGCAGCCGGCCAGGGGAGCGACAGGGCCTGGCCCGGGCTGCGTGGAGGCGAGGGAAGGAGGTGGCTGGCTGGCTGGCCTGCCAGGACAGCAGGACTGGGAACACCAGCCCAGGGGTGGGCGAAAGCCAGGCTCACCTGAGAGGAAGTCCCGGACCTGCTGGATAAGGAGCCGTGTGCGCCTGACGCCTTCCTCCATCTGGGCGCGGCTGGTGCTCACCTGGGTCTCCAGGCGCTGGGCATCGGATTGCACCTGTGACGCAGCCTCCTCGGCTGCCCTGATCTGCAGGCACACACTAGGTCAGCAGTCAGCAAAACCCCAAGGGAGCCTTCAGCAGCCCCTCAGGATTCCGCGGACACCTGCCACCGAAGGTCTACCTGGGAAACATTTGTAGCTAACCCGGTTTGGTCCCAGATATTACAGAAATGATGTGGACTCAGATAAAATAAAAGCGAAAATACTGTCGCCAAAGTCTACTTCTCATTCGCTGTGGAGGCCTGGGGCAAGTCACCTGATATGTCTGGGCCTTTGTCTCCTGACTGTAAAATGAGACCTGACCTCCCCAGGGGGCTCTGTCCTCTCTGCCTCCTCCCAAAGGTGCCCACCTCGCCCTGGCCGCACCTACCATCTGCCTGGTCTGCTGGAGCTGGGTGTTGAAGCCCCGTAGCTGCTCGGCCACCTGCCCTGCTGTCCGGAAGGCCTCGCCAGCCCTGGGGAGGGCGCCTCTGCAGTGGGAGCCACAGGCTGTGCCGTTGTCTCGGGGACAGAGCTCTCCAGGGCACGCTCCTGGGGTGCAGGCTGTCTCCCTGGAGCCCCCACAGAGCTGTGCAGAGAGGGGTGGTCAAAGAGGGTACCCACCGCTCCTCAACAACCACTCCTCTCTCACACAAATAGCTAGACATCTCCATGGCAACTGGGCACCAGAAACTTGTTTCCTTGACAACTACTGAGTACACCGTGAGGGGGCAAGGGTCAGGGTGGATGGGGGAGCGGAGTAGGCTCACATTGTCCTACCAGGCAATGTGGACAAGCAGTGGGTGTGTGAGAAGCTGGGGCGGGGTTTCCGGAAGTGGGACTCCATGCCTGACTCACCTTGTTGATGGTGGGTGTCAGATCAGGCAAGGAAGCCATCTGCAGCTTCAGGGCTGCAAGCTGGGGGCCACTGGCTCCTCCTCCGCCTCCCACCTGCTCCTCCAGCCTCTTGGCCTCTCTCCGGCTGTCCCTGACTTGGACTAGCCGGCGGACACTGTCAGAGACCTGCCGGTCGGCCTGGAATGACCGCTGGTAGGCTGTGGTCAGCATCTGGAAGGCTCCTGTGGGGAGAGAAGAGGGAAGCTGAGTCACCCCTGGACCCAGAGGACTGGATGCGGAAGGGCAAGTGGGCGCGGTGTGATGCATCTGGCTCTCTGCGTACCCTCTCCTCACCTGCAGGGTCCGCACTGCTGATCTTTTCAAACTGCTCCCTCTTATTCTGATACATAATGAGGAGGTGATTGAAGCTTCTGTCCAGGTTCTCTAGGTCTCCTGGGAGGGACAAGGTCTCCTCCAGGGGCAGAGGGCGCTGTAGGTCCTGCATGGTCCGCCTGAGACGGGAGAGGAGTGTTCACTAACACATAGGAGGGGGGCTGGCTCCCCAGAACAAGCCCTCCCCTTGGAGAAATTGCTATTGAGTCAGGAAAAATAGAAAGGCCTCCAGCAAAGGTAACAGGATGGAGATGCCACAGGCTGAGGAAGATTCTGCTGGGCAAAGGCTGGGAGGGCCCGCTTACCCTCCCTCCATCCCCCCACAGGCAGACCCAGGAAAACCTCTCCTTCCTGGACTTGAGCAACCCTGACACTGCCGGTTCCCCTCCACCTGCCCATCGCTGCCCGCCCCGACCCTCCTCCTGGACTCCTTACAGGCCGACCTCAGCCACCACCTGCACAGTCGAGGCGCCCGAGGCTCTCTTCCACAGTCCACACCTGCCCACAGAGCTTCCACACCTGCTGCCCGCTGGCTGTCTCCACCCAAAGGGGGTCACCTGCCCAGACCCACAGCCCCTGAACTTTCAGAGATAGGCTTCTCTCCAAGCCTCGCATTCTCCACCTCCAGGGTCAGGCATGGACGGCCCTTCCTGGAAGGCTCTTCCGTGCCTGCATTCCCAGCCTATCAAAGGCCTGCGGACTCACTACTCAGTTGTGAGACCGAGGGCACTCACACACCTGGACAGCTCTGGGCCAGCAAGGGCTCGGGGAATGGAAACTAATCATAGAATCTTCCAGAATCAAATCTCACTAATAAGGCGGCTTTGCTGGTAGGAGGCAGGAGGGTGGGATGGCTCCCATTCCAAAGGCAAATACAAGTTATTTTTAGAGCCCCTGCCTCTCGGATGCCCTCCGCCAGGCTGACTAATCCAGAGCTGACTCTCACAGGCAGCGCTGGCGCTTGAAAGAACGCTGGGCTTGGGCTCCAGCCCACGCTCAGAGAACCCTCGGTGGCCACGTGTCTTTGTCGCATCATCTATTTGTGCCTGTTTCCTCATCTGAAAATGGAAGTAAAAACACCCACCATGCCAACCACGCAGAACTGTTGTGATAGTTAAAAGAGAGAACGCACATGAAAATGCTATGTAAACTGCAAAGGGCCCAGCCCATGTACAGGAAAACTGGGGCGCCCCTGGTGTGAGCCCAGGTGGTGTAATTCTAAGTGCTTGGCAGGAAAAGAGGATTACCTGAGAGAGAAGATGGCACTGGCCAGCTGGGCCACCTCCCGCTCCGTGGCTGGGGCACCGCCGAGAATTGCTTGGATCTGTGCAATCTTGCTCTTTGCATCCAGGATCCGGGAGGCCAGACTGGGGTCCTCGAGGCCCGGACGGAGCCTCAGGGCGGCGGTGGCATTGCGGAGGCTGTCGAGGCGTAGGATCTGCTCCTGGAGGTCGGCGTCATAGGTCTGGAAGCAAGGATGGCAGGCCACGCACACTGGGTAGCGGTCACAGTAGCCTCGCTGGCACTGGTCACAGCGGGGCCCGGTCAAGCCAGGGCGGCAGAGGCAGCGGCCTGAGGCCTTGTCACAGCCTGGGCCCTCGGTTCCCCGGAAGTCACAGTCACAGGCTACAGGGAGGAGAAAGGAGGCCGGGGTCAGGGAGACCAAGGTGTCTGGCAGGGAGAGTCTGAAGGGGAGGTCCGACCTCAGGGTCTTCCGAGCTTAGAATAAGACTGTCAAGGCCAGAATAAAACTACATGATGCCAGCAACCAAAGCAGGCACTTCCTGGGCACCTACCACATGCCAGGCACCATTCCAAGTCTCACACACGCCCCACACACACTAACTCACTTGACCTTCACGACCACTGCACGGCAGAGTCGGCCCCCCCTCGATGGTCCCATTTTTATAGGTGAGGCAACTGCATTTTGGGTGCAGCATACTTCTTCCCCAGAGGAGGGAATGGAGGCTGTAGAGGGGGCGTGACTCACCCCACGTCACTCAGTAAGGCCGAGCAAAAGCAGGCCCTGTCTTTGTGCTCTTGTGGCTACTTGTCAAACTGACTTTCTGGGGACATTACACCTTCCCCCTAAGGACTTGCTCCCCCCGTCTATGAAGAGGGAAGAAATGTCCTCCCCTTCCTGCCAGGCCCTGGAGATGGCCCTGGGAAATGCTTTCTCAGGAAGTGGGGAGCAAATCAGCCCCCCTGTCGTGGGGATGTGGGCCAGGACTGGAGGCCCAGCCGGCGGGCTGGAGCAGCGGGGAGCACATGCTGTCACAGGGCACCAGGGCCCACAGCTCATGCTGCACCACAGTGTCCTCCCAGGCCACAGACCACACGCCCCACCGCAAGCCCACCCAGTGCTCATCCCCCCGCAGCCTCCAGGTCCCCCTTCAGTGGGCGCGAACCTCGGCATCCCACGGCCGTGTCTCCGTAGGTCTGGTCAGGACACTGGCGGATGGCAGCAGCGTTGCACGTCAGGCCCCCAAACCCTTCCCGACAGGGGCACTGTCCTGTGAACTGTGGGGAGAGCACCGTGAGGGAGGCTCCCCACAGCCCTGGCCTCAGAGAACCTCCCTGGCACAGTGGCCCCCAAATAAGGACTTCCACTCAGAGACGAGCTCTTAAGTCAAAGCCCGAGATGGCCCCACACAAGGGGTGGCCCATGGGCACTGCCAAAGCTCCAAGCCACAGAGGAAAGGACACTGGATGGCCTCCCCAAAGGGCTGGGGACAGAAGCAGCCAAGCCTGACTTTGGAAAGGCCCAGAAGGGCAGCGTGGAAGGGAGACGGACATGTTGGTGGGCAGCCGCCTCTCCTGTTCAAGGGCCCATGGGGCCACCCTCACCCCATACCTGGTTGCAGTGGGGGCTGAGGGAGTTGTTTGGGTCACAGGCACACGGCTCGCAGCCCTGGCCACTGGCCAGCTTCCAGTAGTAGGGAGCGCACTGGTCACATTTGGGGCCCACCACATGGGGCAGACACAGGCAGCGGCCGCTCTCCTCATCACACGGCATGTCGGGTCGGGACCCCAGGACACTGCAGTCACAGCCTGCAGGAGGGAGGGCGGCTGAACTTGGGGGACAGCTCACCAGAAACTCGCCCCCAGAGAACATGCACGAAGAGGATATCAACCTGGGAGGAGGAGCAGGCAGGGCGGATCCCTCCAGATAATCTGGCTGACTCATAAAGCCGCTGAGATTCCCACCAGTTCCAGCACCTGCCGGCTTGGCTGCCCGCCCTGCCTCCCAATGGTTGACTCAGTCCCACCTCCCAAACTGGGCCTGTGCTGCCACCTGCTGGAAGTTGGTGGCACAGCACCTGGCACACGGCACAGTGAGCAGGGCAACTCATGGGTCTGGTGGCCCCCTGCAGCCTGCTCCAAGTCAGGCCAGGCTGGGCACCCCCTACTCACGGTGGCAGCCCTGTGGGTTAGCGTAGGTGAGTCCTGTAAATCCTGGCTTGCACAGGTCACAGCGCTCCCCCTGCACGTGCTCCTTGCACACACACTGCCCGGTCACTGGGTCGCAGGGAACCCCCGGCACCGCCCCATCCGGGTCACATTCGCAGGCTGAGGCACAAAAGCAGTCAACACAGTAAGAATAAAGAAGAAAAGCAGAGCATTAAGAACACGTGGTAGGAGCCAGACTTTCTGGTTAGTGGCTTACAGTCTCACAACCTTAGTCAAGTTATTTAACCCCACTGTGTCTCAGTTTCCTCATCGGTGAAATGGGGATAATTATACAACCCGCATAGGCTCCTTATAAGAAATAAATGAGTAAATGTGCCCTAGCCATTGTGGCTCAGTTGGTTGGAGCATTGTCCAGTAACCAAAAGGTTGTGGGTTCAGTTCCCTGTCAGGGTACATGCCTAGGCTGCGGGTTCAATTCCTGGTCCATCTGCATACAATCCCCAGTAGGGATGAGTATGAGAGGCAACCAATCAACGTTTCTCTCCTCACATCTACGTGTCTCTCTCTCCCTTCCTCCCTTCCTTCCTCTCTCTCTCTAAACACAATGAAAAAATGTCATCAGGTAAGGAAAAATAAAGAGCAAATGTAACAGGGAACAGGGCTTGGCTGCTGTCATTAGTTACTGAACACCTGCTATGTACGACTACAGACACTCCTGCAAGTTGCCTAGGTAATCTTCATGGTAACCCTGAAAGGTGAAAATAATTATCCCTCTTGTACACATGAGGGAACTGAGGCTCAGAGATGGGAAAGAACGTACTCAGGCCACACAGCCAGGAAGTGCTGGAAACAGAAGCCAAACTCGAGTTTTTTTCATTCTTTCCATAACCAAATAGTATCAACAGGAAGTGATCCAGCTTTCCCTCCCCACCACACTGGACTACTTTTGCTTTCATGCCTTTCAAAACACAGACTCTCAGAACGTCTTTCCTGATTAACCCTGCCTGAACCCAATTGCTTCGATCAAGTTCACTCTTTCCTATATGAACCTCTGGACCTCGTGGACATGTTAAGTCACTTCTGAGTGTTCCATCACATTACACTCATGTCTGTATTCAATAAACATTCAGTGGGCATGAATTATTTGCTTGTTGTTGTGCTAGGGCCTGAAGATACAAATTATAATCTCTGCCATGGAGGAATTCTCAGTGTTTGGGGAAAACAGAAAAATATAGAACAAACCACATTATAGCACATAAAGGCAATAATATATAAAAACAAAGTGCTTTGCCCTACTTTTTCATGTGTGTACAGTTTATATTACTAAACAGTGTGCATGTGTTTTGGCAACAGGAACTGTATCTTACATTTACATTTTTCTCTTCTTTGTCTAAAGAAGGGATTACATAACGATTGATTGACCTATTAATTTACGGTCCAGGTGATTTGCTTAGAAGTGCACAGCTAAGTTAAAACAACGGCCTACAAGTCCTCCTGAGAGCCGGTGTGTCCCTAGAGACATGTGCTCTGTTGTGTCCAGAAAAGATGGGGAGTAATAGACAGACGGTACCCTGGGGAGCCCCTACTCACGGATACAGGTCTCCTCGATGGGAGCACCAGGGCGCCGGTTCCGGAAAAAGTGCAGCTGACACCGCTCACAGTTCCTGCCTTCGGTGTGGTCCCGGCAGTTGTCACATACCCCTCCATGTGCCCCCTGGCTGTTGGCAAACACAGCTGGGTCGAAGTGACATGTCTCTGAGTGGCCATTGCAGTCACATCCTGAAAAAGGAGTTCCCAGAGCTGACACCGGACCAGCACCTTTGCCATCTACGAAGCGCATCCCTCACAACCCCCGCTACTTCACTAGCATCTGACAACCCTGCAATATGCTCAGGTCTGGGAAATATGGAAACTGAGACCCAGGGAAACTTGTGTGATTTATTCCAGGTTATATGGCAAGTAAAAAAGCAGAATAGAATGAGAACTCGGGCCTCCTGACTCTGACTATGGGAACTAACCCAAGAATAACGTCCATGTTGGGCCAAAGAGAGAGTTCTTTGAATGGTCCATCCCAACCCTCCCCCATTGCCACCATGGGTCTCCTGCTGGGTCCTCTCTCTGGGCTGAGGACCCCTGCTTTCCCTCCTTCATGCAGAGAAAGACGCTGACTCTAGGGGACCAATGGAAGTAGGAAACCAGACATGTCCTACATAGGATAAGGCAAGTGGAGAGGCCAGAAGAGGAAGGACTCAGAAGAAGCCATGTGGCATCAAAGCATGAACCAAGCCTTGGTTTCTCTAGGCCTGGCTGAGGGAGGCCACGGGGAGGCAGAGAGAGATTGTGACCCAAATCCTGTCTCTATCCCCGCAGAGCAAGAAGAGCTTAAATTGCAGGGTTGCGATTCAGATTATATTTAAATAATAAAGAATATATTCTCCCTGCGTCCCAGGAGAGGTCACTGAGGCCCAGAGGGGCCAGCACCCTACTCAGTCATACTTTGGCATTCATGTGGGTCCTGGTCATCCGCAGGTCTCCAGGGCCGATTGTTATAGAAAGGCGCACAGCGTTCACAGTTGGGGCCGGCAGTGTTGTGCTGGCAGACGCAGACGTCGTGGACCTAGGAGAGGGGCCATTAGTTATCAGCAATGATTATCCAAGGAATGGCCCAGGATGGATCTGCCCTCTCCCCGCTGACCCGCTCCCCTACCACCCCAGGGTCCAGCTCAGACCCCAGCTCCTCCGGCCTTCAGTCAACCCTTGTGGCACTGCTCGTGTGCCTGTGCGTGTGTTTCTGCACTGCTCCTCTAGCTAGATTTTTACAAGGTCATTCCCTGCACTTGGACACTCCCACGATGCCTAGTCCAAAGCAGCACCTGGAAGGCACTCAGACACCTTTGCTGGTAAACTTGATTCTAGAAGCTTGGGGACCCTCTAGATTAATATTCCAACAACCTATGACTGAGGTTGTTTGGATAACGGACTGCATGATGAATTGGTACTAGACTCATTACGGTATAAAAATAGAATAATTGTTGTGTGCTAATTGTCTTCCAAATTAAACCCGACACCCTCAGCCTGGCACTCAAGGACCTGTATGTTTGTCCCATGCCATCGCCCACTCCCTCCTGACAGCACAGCCAAGCTGAGCTTCGGAGCAGCAACCTCCACAAGCCCTACCTTCCTCTCCTTTTGGCTTTCACAGGTGTCCTCCTTTCTGTCTGTAATACCTTTCTCTCCCTAGTCACCAACAAAATCCTGCCAGTTACAATGGCACCTCCTTCACAGGCCTCTCCGGTTCCTCTGGTTCCATGGATTTCAACCCTGACTGTGCCTCAGAATCATACATGGAGTTTAAAAAACAAAAACCAACAACAGGCCCAATTCCATCAGAATCTCAGGGGCAAGGGCCAGGCATCAGTACTTTATAAAGTGGTGGTTCCTTTGTGTGGCCTGATTTGGAACCACGGGCGCTGGGCGTGCCCTCTCCCTCTGCTCCGGCCCACTTTGTGTTCCTCAGGTTCACAGTCCTGTGTTCTGGTCCTTTGTCTACCCGCCTCAGCTGGTCGCCCTCTGGCCTCCCCTGCAGCCCGGGGAAAGAGCTGGCCCAGAAATGGAAAGAATAAAGCTGACTGGTGTTCATTTCCCCTGTATTTCCTTCTCAGGCCACGTTACATGAATTTTTGTCACCTACCTATGGACAGGGCGAATAGCATGCTACCATATGTTAACCGAACTGAAGCCTCAGAACAATGAAATAACAGCTCCTGTTGTTTCTTAGCCCAGGGTTCTCCTCTACTGGTGGTTCTCAAGGTGGAATCCCCTGAGCTGCTGGATCAGCTGGAGCCTCTCACTGCCCCCCACCCCCGATCCCTGATGCATCCCACTCGGCTGGTCTGGGGCACACTTGGCATGTGTTAGACTCTGTTCTCTCACTCTGTCCCATCTCTCTCCACCAGATGGGACCTTACAGTCCCCAAACCAGGAGCTCTCAGCCCTGGCAGGACATTAGAAATCACCTCAAAGCTTTAAAACAATACAGGTCTGGGCAATATTTTTAGCTCCCCAGGAAATTATCACGTGTAGCCAGGGCTGAGCAGCACTGCCTTAAGCTCCCCTCAACACCCACACTTGTGCTTACGTGTAACTGAAAATTCCATCACTCAGATCTAAGGATCTGCTACAAATCCTGATCTTTGAAATGAGAAGAGAATCATTTAGACTTAAACTTAGTGCCCACCGTGCTTTACGGGAGCCTCACAGGTGTCCTTGGTTGTGCCAGTCTTGCCCCTTCCTCTCTGCCCTTCCCGCCCTGGCCTGTCACCTGCACGCTCCCTGCAGGGGCTCCGGTCTCAGGGGCGCAGCGGTCGGCGTGGCCATGACAGAAGCAGCTCCCTTGCAGACGCAGCTGGGACACTGCGTAGTAGGCACTGGGGGGATAGTAGACCCTCTGGGGCACCGGGGCCAGCCTGGTGAAGTTGATTCTCAAGTTTGTGATCTCCCCCAGCTCTGGGAGGGGCAAACAGGGGAAGGGAGGGGATCGGGAAAAGACAATAAAAAAAGGACATTAGAGCCTAACAGAGTGTGCTAGGGCAGGGTGGAAAAGGAAAGGAATTCCGGTTCTACCATCTCTTCCCACCCTCAACCCTGCGAGGCAGAAGAGACACACACATGAACACCCCAGCTCAGGCCTTCTGTGCCTCTGGGGCTACCACGCACCCCTATAGGGTAAGCAGGGCAAGTGTTCAATCCCGCCATGTTGTCAGAAATATGAAAGACCAGGAATGCTTCATGACCGGGGTTCCAACCTGTGCTGTTTCCCACCCACAGTCCCAAAAGACTACAGGGGCAGCCACACTGACCTTGAATTTTTTGACTCTGAGTTGCTGGAATCCTAGAGGCTAAATCCATAAGGTTAAGCTGGACCTACAGAGAGAGGAAAGAGGGAGGCACTGAGGGGGAGGTAGACTGTGTCCCAACCTCAGAAGCCTCCTGGCCATTCAGTGCCCGCCTTTCTCGTGCTACGCCGAAGTCTGTCTAACCTGGGACCTGAGACCACCATGGAGCTGAGGCTGCAAACTGCCCTCGGGGAGCAAGAGGACCACTGGGCCCTAAGTGAGAGAGAGAGAGAGAGGGAGAGGGAGAGGGAGGAGGGGAGTAGAGAGACAGAGAGAGAGTGTGTGTGTGTGCGCGCGCGCACGCGCGCACACATGTGCCGTCTCTCCTCTCCATTGAAAATATAGCAGCCCCAAGACCTGATTTCCTTGGGTCAATTACAGTAAGATATATAATGTACAGTAAGGGTTTAGGAATACTGATTTTTCCAAACCCATGATGAATGAGAGAATCCAGAGCCCAAGGATGCATGGATGTGGTGACTACCAACCTTTAGACCCCAATTTCAACAATGCTTCTTCTTTTTAATAAAAATCACTTATTGGATGTGACTTTATCTCATCTTCCACAGAAGAGTTTTCACATCAATTCTCCACACATCAGGAAGAAGTCCTATATTCTGATGTGGAGTCTGGAGAGTGTGGCCCTCATGAATCTGGGTGTGATTATAACCAAGAAGCAGCTGTCCAGCTGAGGAGAGAGCAGCACTGCCCACAGGTTCTCATTTCTAGCTCAGGTTCAAGTTTAGGTGACCTGGAGCTGTGGCTTCTACCTGAATTTCCTCAAGGGCGAGGGTGGGGCTAGATGAACAGATTAAATATTAAACCCCACCGAAGCAAAATCAGAGATTAAATTAAATGTGCGTCATTTCGCTCACTTGACTCTAAGCAGCCATCTCAAAGTCGGCTGTACCCTCTTCACTACAGGGACAGGCCGATGAGCCGTGGTGGAGGCAGCAGTGACAGCCATAGCAGGGGGCGGGGCTGGGTCTCGTAGGACGCTCAACGCGTTCCTGAAATACCCTTCGTGAGCAGCCAAGAGAACAAGCTGCAAGTGTTTGGAGGATGCAGAGCTCAGGAAAGACACCAAGGAGCACTGCCCGGGGCTGTTCTCATCTCTTTTCCAGCGTTTGGCGTGAAGGCGTGAGCGAGGCGATGCCAGACACCTTTCCGTGGCTGCACTTTCAGGGTCCTTCCTACTTACCTTACCCCCATCTTGGTGCGTGTTCGTCCTTGGGGGCAGAGACCGGCACCGAGCGTCCTGCCAGCTCTGAGGCTGGCCCTGGTGGACACGGGGGAAGGCAGACGTGCAGTCGGTGGCCAAGTACTGGTACACATGCCACGTCTTACCGAAGTCTGAGGAGCGCTCGATCAGCATCCCGGCGGGCATGGGGCCCTGCAGAGACACAGGCAAGGTGAGGCCTGAGCGACCAAAGTGTCTTCCCTGTGTGTACTCAGGCAGTTTAAGGATCATGATTTAGCTTTGTTCATCTTTCATTTCTGACGTCTGGCACCAAACCTAACATATAATCAGTATGATGTATGTCACTAGCAAGAAGGGACAAATACATAAATGGGAGAGTGATAATAAAACAATGAAACCAATGGTATCCATCCAAATGAATGCTGCCCCTCAAAGCTGTCACCTTAGAAATTGGGTATTACTCAATGACACTGGCATGTCTCAAAATACGTTTGACCTTTTCTTGGGGTGAGCCTCTTAGATCTAATTTCTTCAGTAACACAAGAAATTCGATTCTATTGCTTTTTATTCACAGTTCATCTTAACTCCTGAAAAATGGTACCACTCTTCCTGACCATCTAATCCTAATAGCCAAACTTGATCCTTAAATATTTAACTATTTCTGTAGAAAGCAAATCTTCTCCAAAACAAACAAAAAATGACCTGTCCCAAATGAATAAAAGTGCTCCCTCCTTTGGGGCATCTCAGAAGGCCAGTCTAAAAGCCGGATCTGAAAGAACTCTGGGAAACAACAGCACTGAATGAGTAGGGAGCTCACCAGAAGGGCCACTCCAAAAACACATCTTCATGTGGGTCAATGGGCCCCTTCTCGGCTGTTTGTTAAACTCAGTCTCATTCGCAAACTTACTCAAACAGAGCTTACCGAGAATACACAACCATATAAGCAGCAGGCCCAGTAGAATTGGTACTTGGGCAGAGCTGAATCAGTTAGATGTGTTCAGCATGAGGGAGACAGAGAGGAAGGGGATCTACAACCACCGTACGGCAAAGATAGGGAGCCTGGAGGTGCCACTGTTCTCCCTGGAATGGGGGCTCTGCTGTCACCACGACAGAGACTCAGGGTAAATGTCACCCAGCCTGGTGAAGGGAGGCCCGCCCAGCAGGCGGCGCCGTCACCTCGAGCCCAGGCAGACAAGAGCTCTGATCCCTGTGAGTCAGCCCACATGGCCCCAGGTCCCCGCTCCTAGCCCTTGCCATCCCCAGGAAGCGCACCTTAAAGTGAACTGTGATGTCTCGAAGCTGGAATCTCCTGTCCAGGTCCAGCTGCAGAGAGACAGGGTTCACATCTGGAAGGATGAAAAATAGGAACTTCAGACCAGAGAATTTCCACCCTCCCAGCCTGAAGAAGGCTCTGGACCACACCAGCCCTAGGAAGCCAGAAATTCTCTAACCTTGGGTCCCCAAGTTCCCTCCCGGGGAAACATGGTACCAGCACATTCCTACTTTTATTCTCTATTCAAGATCCTGTCTGTTTGGGGCCAAACTTCCTGCCCCTCATGACCTGATGCTCCTGATACCTTAAAGGGGTTTCAACTTGTCTGTTCAACACACACCTTTTCCCCAAACTCAATCCCTTCAACATGCCCATTGTGGGGAAGTGGAGTAAAATATCCGCAACATCTGAAAGCCCCCAAATCTGGAGACGGAAAGTTCTGCTTGTCAACCACCACATTCCAGAGCTATAAGAAGTGCCTGAGAAACCCAAAGAGCTCCCAGGCACCCTCTGGCCACCCCACCTGTGGGAGCCTCCACAAGCTCGGTCCCCCGTAGGTGGCAGGCCCTTACCGTTCTTCGACTGCCACCAGCGTGTGGGGCCTGAAGACGAAACCACATTCTCCACTCGGTGACTGTTGTAATTGTGAGGCATCCTGGAGTCGCACTTGCAGCATTTCATCTGCCACTGCGGAGGCAGGGAGACAGCAGATTCAGGGGTGGGGTCTGGATAGAGGATTCTCCCCTCGTATCCAGAGAGCCCCGGATACTCCCTCCACACAAAGCCTCCCCAAAGGGGTCCGCTGATTTCATCAGTACACTTGGAAGGATTCATCGCTGAAAACACGGGTATTGGTCATCTTTTCATTTAATTCCTCTGTGTCCACCCTAAGACGTAGCTAAGTGAATAGTAAATAGATGTTAGGGTTGGGAAAGAGGTCTGAGGTGGTAGGAAAAAATCTCTGTACGTGACATTGTCTCAAAGAGAAACTTCAAAATGGTGCCGAGAAAAAAAAAAAAAAAGGAAAAGCACATTAATTTAGCATCTACTATGTGTTAAATGCAGGCTATAGAGTTTTATATCTCCTCTCACTTAAGCCTGGCAGCCTGCAGGAAATGGCATTTCAGAGAAGGGGACAACCAAACAGGAAGGGAATTTGGGGGTTCCGGTACTAGCTCTGTCAACTCACATTCTGAGCTCAGTCTTCGCCACTGTAAATTGAGTGGAGGCTGGAAGAGTCATTTGATCATTCACCAGGTACTTATGCATCAGCATGCCCTATGCGTGAGACCCTGCTGGCCTCTGGGGTTATAACAGTCAACAAAACAGAGACTCTGAAGTCAGGAAGCCAATGTCCTGGTAACATTTACATCATCTCTAAGGCCTTCCAATATTGATATCTGGGACTTGAAGATCCTGTTTGGCATTCCCTACCCACAGGAGAGAATCCTGGGGTCGCCAACCAAATGGGGCTCTGTACGCAGGCAGTCCCAAGGCCAGGAAAGCACGCGGCCCTGGGGCTGAGGACGAGGGCTCCCTGCCCATGCGCTGGAGTGAGACAAGAGGCAGAGCTGAACACCATGGGCTCCATGAGGGGCAGAGATTGCCAAGAAAAAGACCGTGGCCAGAAGATATGGCCCTCGTCCTTTCAGTTGTGTGTTATGTGTACGCACATGTGGGCATACACGCACCCCTCAGAGACAGCATAGCCTTGTCCAAACTTCCCCCTGCATCACACATAAAATTGCTTTCTCTGTGTAGCCACGGTCCCAAACCTTGTGCCCAGTGGCAGACTGTTCAGCGGGCTCTAAATTTACCCGTAAGTAGAAGCAAGGCTTGGACAAGAACCCCCCTGACCTGCTGGTCCTTCTGGGTAGAAACAACTGTACCTCCACACCCCCCATGTCTCTGCTTCCCACTAAGCCTCCGTCTCTGAGGGCTTCCAGCTCCTGACCCTCTGCCCTGCCCAGGGAAGGTGATAAGCTAACGAGGTGAGGCGGAACTGATTAATTCAACAGCTCAGTCCCAAAGGGATAGAGTTAATTAATATGCCAAGCCTGTGACTTAGTTTTAAAAAGTCCTTGCCCAGCACCATCTTTCCTCCATAGCTGACGGCACTTGGAAGAGCGAACGCATGCAGAAGGGGCACCAGGTGCCCTGGCTCTCACGGCCTCTGCCTGCCCCCCTTTCCAGCTTTGACCGCCAATCTGCAAAGTAAGAGAACTGTGACCATCCTGGCGCCCGGAGCTGTCCTTTTCATGTCCACAAGTGCTTTTTTAAACAGCAAGTGTTGGATGTTTGATGTTCCAATAATGGCCAGTGCATGTGCCCTGAATAAAAGAGCACCCATTGTCCCCCGCCCGTCTCTGTCCCTGTCCATTCCTTGCCCTGCCACATTTTTCTTCATAGTATGTATCTCTGCTTGACATCCTGTGCATGTATTGTCTATTTGTTTGCTTAGAATAATTGTTAATTGTCTTCCTCCCCTGGTAGAATGGATGGATACCCCATAAAGACAGAACTTACTTTTCTTTACCACTGTATTCCCAGACCTGAGAAAAGTAACTGGCACATAATAGGCCCTCTATAAGTACTTGTTGAGTGAATAGTAAATACTCAGTAGTGCCAACATTTTCAATATCATTATATTACTAGACACTCCTTTCTACACTCAGGAGGGGTAGGGGATTGAGGAGGTAAGAAAACATCAGTAGCGAGTGATGGAAAGCCTACCGTGTGCCAGGTTCTGTATTAGGAGTCTCGATGCAATAACTTATTTAAGCCTCACAACCACTCTCTGTGGAAGTAGCATGATTCCTACTTTACATATGAGAAGGCTAAGGCTCAAGGAGCTTATATGACCTTCCTGTTGACTGATGGGCAGTGTCAGCACCAGAACCAGAGAAGAACCCTTCCCTCGCTCTCCCTCTCCTTCTCCCTCCCTCGCTCCCTTCCTTCCTCCCTTCCTGTCACCCTCTCATTTTCACTAGAAACCAGCTGGGTGCACAGAAATCATGGGAAGCATAGTCAAGGCAGATAATTTCTGTCTCACCCAACGGCCTGCTGTGACCCTGAGGCTGACCGTGGGGGCGGTAGGGCAGAGAAAGCACTGTGGAGATAATGCCAGCGGTTGACCCTGCTCAGTTAGCACAGAGGCTGCAGATCTGTCAGTGGTGAAATAAATACACGAGCACTTGAAATAATCCCTTCAGGGTGAGAGAAGCCTCCTGCTGGAATCTGACTCTCCTCCAGCGCCCTATTTTTGGTCTCTGGGAAAGAGGATGCCCTTCTCCCCACTCTGCCCAGCTTCTCAGTGGCCAAATCTTCTACTCCCCAACCTCTGTCTGCACTCAGTACATGTCCCATGGAGAGACAGGAGCCAGCTGTCTCCCGGTGGCCTGTCACCAGAGCTGTCTCCCCAGCCTGGCTGGGAGCTGACCTCGGCCTGTCCCTTGGCCACGAGAATGCCAGGAACGATGCTCTTTCTTTCCCTGGGCCAAGGAACACAGGGGCTAGAACAGCAAAGCCTGGCACTATGGAAATGCCCTTGATATTTTCAAATGATAGAATATTATGTAACTTAATAAAAATGCTGCCTAGAGAAATACAGGGAAATGCTTACCTTACAACGTTTCATGAAAAAAACTTGGGAATAAACTTGTATATGCACCATGATCTCAAAAAAACATATTTTTAAAGGAATAGAAAAATGCGTAGAAGAAAATACACCAATATAAAATTGCTGATATTCACCCATTTTGACCTACAAAAATGGTACCTACATGCAGTTTAACCTAATATCTCTGGGAAATGGGATTACAGGTACCTTTTCCTCCATCTTTGTAATTTTTTTACAATTTAAAACTTTCATACTTTGGATAGATATTAACTTTTATGCTCAAGAAAATAGACATTACTGTAAAGTAAAACACAGCAAAAATGAACGAGGTGTTCGGTGCGGCCTTGTCACCCTGGCCTCCTCCCCCGACCCTGGCAGTCTGGAGCTCCCATGCCTTCTCCACCCTCCTTCCCCGTGCAGCACTGATGGGGCAATCGGATGCCCACACACTAAAAACTACGTGCTGCTCACCACAGCAGCACGGCTAACAGAGGGATTTTTCACAATCCTCAGAGGCAGGCTAAGCCAGCCAGCTTGGGACAGGTATTTTAAGTAGTTCTACTTGTCAACTAGCTAGAGGGATGGTGGCCTGAAATAGAACAGCTTATGGCAGAAGCCCACATAAGGACAAACTACTAGTTTCGTCTTTCTCTTTGGGCCTCAGTTTCCCTTTCTATTTTATTCTCTTATGCTATATATCCTTGTATTCTTGTAGTCTATGTAATATGTATATAAATGTGTGAGAGAGAGAGAGAGATTCTCAAGATGCAACTCTTCCCCTGGGCTGTGCTTCATGCCTTTCTCTGGCCCAGTGATGGAAGCTCTCAGCTGCAGCTGTTCCCTCTTTGGGGTCATTTGGCCAGCACTGGCCTGGCTGTGCTACCTCAGAGACACAGCATTATTATCAATCCAGCCTGTCAGGCCTTCAGCCAGTTTGGCTCTTGCTTGCTCTCCATCTGGAAAGGCTGAGCCTCTTCCCTTATCCTGGAGCCTTCCAGAATCTCAGCTCAGTCTGGCCAGAATACTCCCCACCCCCATCCTGAGAGCTCAGCGGGGGCAAAGGAAAGAGCAAGAACCAGCATGAGCCTTAATCACAGTGGAGAGGGGTAGATAAAGGAAGGCAATGCAAATCAAAGCTCTGCCTTTGCAGAACACAGAGCAAATTCTGGGGGAAAATAGAAAAACAGGCTCTGGTTAGACATGGGCCATGTCCCTCCCATGAGCAAGCCAGAGGCCATCTGCATCGATGTAAGGAGCTAGAGTTAAGGTCATGGATGGCAGCCAGGACCAAAAGAAAGAAAGTCAAGGACAAAAATAAATAAATAAATAAGAAAATCCAGCTCTCGGGGAAAAAAAAGACATTTCTTCCACTTTGGCTTCCTTATTGGTAAAATGCAGGGGTGAGATGAGACAATAAACCTCCTTCTTGCTCTAACATGCTCTTAGAATTCTCCATCTAGCTTATCACCTCAGAAGTTAGACACTGCAAACAAGAACGCAAAGGAAGCAAGAGAAACATAAGCCTTTGGCCCAGCCCCATATTGGAGAAACACTCTTCTCAGCCAAGGGGACAGGGGAAGAAAGGGCCCTGAAGGCCTTTGGTCGGCCAGGCCTCCAGTAGTTCTCCCCGGGACCCACAAGCTTCACCATTCCTGTGTCAATGGATATGGCCAGCAAAGGTCAAAAGTCTGGGCCTGCTGGTGTGTTGGGTGGGAGGAATACCCCAATGTTATGAGGTACATTTTGGCCAAAGCCTTAATTCTACAGCACCCTGCCTCCATCCAAACTAAATTCAGAAATGTCACTTTCAGAAGCTGATTATAGAGATGATGTATAACACACATCCAGAAATTACACTGCACTGGCCTCTCTCCTGAGCACTGCCATGTATTACCTCATTTCATCCTTCCCAAATCTCCGCGGTGGGTACATTACATGACATGGTTGGTGTCCTTATTTCACAGATTAGGATGGCAAGTCTCAGAGAAGTTAAGAAATGTGTGCGTGTCCACAGAGCTAGGAAGAAAGGAAGCCTGGATTTCTGGCCCAGGCTACCTGTCTCCAAACC